TCTGTGAGCCTTTGTGGATGTCCATGTGCCATGTGAACTGTACATACTGCAAGCATGCAGACTGCACAAGTGCCAGGAAAACAAATAAGGTGAGACTGTACAAGATGTTCCTTCATCTACATCTTTATAAACCATCGTCACAAGAGTTGTACATGAACTGGCGGACTTTGGAGGTGCTTTGAGTTGTACAGGATTTCTATCAACACTGTCCAAACACAGTGGCAAGCAGGGGCGGTTTGTCCATAAGGGCGACGTGCCACCAAAGCAAAAGAAAAAAAAACAAAACTATCCACTGTCAGCTTTCTGAACACTTTGACCTGCCTGTATGTCATTGTCCAATCAGCGTGAAGCCCTGCTGCTTGGACTCCCACCCCAGTTGGGGCAATATCTAGTCAGACTGCTCTCATTATCTGTAATGTAAAGTTTTTTTGTTTTAAATAGCAAACACTATAATGCAGTGTCTATGGGTTCTGGGAGGTGGGAAATCTTATAAATGAGGACTAACTTCTGGGATTCCATAATTCTGCTTTTGTACATTTAAAAGTTTCCTCTTTAACAGAGACAAATTGTAAGATGTGGAGGTTGAACTTATTTATCTGTTTGTTTTTTCTTTTTCTTTTTCTATGAGTCTGTTGGTTTTTTATAGTTAATTGTTGAATGAGTGCCCTTTAATTTGTATTTGCACTTAAAGTAATTTCAGCTGTTGATTAGCCAAACTGCAAATGACCAAACATCCATCCATTCATGCATTATCTATGCACCGCTTAATCCTCACTCCCAGCCAACTTAGGGTGAAGGCAGGGGACACCTGGACAGGTCACCGGTCTATCACAGGGCTACACATAGAGACAGACAACCAAGCACACTCACATTCACACCTACGGACAATTTAGAATCACCAATTAACCTCAACATGTTTTTTGGTGTGTGGGAGGAAGCCGGAGAACCCGGAGAGAACCCACGCTGCACGGGGAGAACATGCAAACTCCACCCAGAAAGATTCCGGGTGTCCTTGCCGGGGCGCGAGCCGGCGACCTTCTTGCTGCGAGGCAACAGTGCTAAACAACTGCGCCACCCTGCAGCCCATAATAAAACATGTTTTCTGCAAATATATATATGTATTTTTGCAATCTTGAGGAATTTGAATATATATGTGTGTGCATATACTGTTTATTATTTCATTCATGTACACTATTGATCTTGCACTAAATGAATGTTATCTTAAATTGGAAACTGTAGATACTGTAATACAATGTGTTTTTAAATTGTATTCAGTTCCCTTCTTAATCTATGTTAAAGCATTTATCTTCCATGTTTGAAGGAAATTGATGACATTTCTCCTGTTGATAACCTATTGAATTTATCATTCACTGAAGATACAAAGGGCTGCATTGTGGCTCGGT